TTCCTGGAACTCACTTTGTAGTCCAGGCTGGCCTCGAACTCACAGAGATCCGCCTGCCTCTGCCTCCCGAGTGCTGGGATTAAAGGTGTGCGACACCACCGCCCGTCTAAAATATTGTAATTTTTAATCTAAGCCAGACATGTGTGTGTCTGCCTTCAATCCCAGTGCTCAGAAGGCAGAATCGGGAGTGTCTATCTCTGTGAGTCCCAGGCCAGCCTGGTCTACATGGCAAGTTCCAGGCCAGCCAGGACTACACAGTGAGACTCTGTCTCAAAACATTTTATTACAATAGACTCAAGAGAAGGTGAGTCTGGTGGTACATACCTGTGCCCGAATGAGGGGAAGGCAGAAGGGCCGGGATTCAATGTCATCCTGAGTGTCGCTACATACGGAGGTCAAGGCCAGCCTGGGCTACTTGAGGTCCTGTCTCAAAATAATAACTATCATCTTCAGAATCAACAATATCATTCTTTCAGTATTTTATTACATTTTTATTTATTTTGTGTCTATGTGTGGATGTGTGTGGGCATGCACGTGACATGACGCACGTGTGGAAGTTGGAGGATGACTTTCAGGAATCGGGTCTTTCCTTCTGCTGTGCAGGTTCCAGAGAGGAAACCCAGCTTGTTAGGCCTGGCATCTGGGGCCTTTATCTACTTACCCATCTGTCTTTCCTCCTTTTGGGGGATGGTTTGAGACAGGGTTTCTCTGTGTGGCCCTGGCTGTCCTGGAACTCGATTTGTAGACGAGGCTGGCCTCGAACTCACAAACATCTGCCTGCTTCTGCCTCCCAAGAACACTGTCTTTCTTAACTTACATTCCTCAACTATTCTTGCCTTACCCACCTAAACTCCCACCAAGTCAGCTGAAAGCACCTGCCAGTCTTTATAAAGATGCTCCCACGGGCTAGAGAGGTGGCTCAGTGGTTACGAGCACTGGTTGCTCTGGCAGAGGACCTGGGTTCTGTTTCCAGCATCCACATAGTGGTTCACAACCATCTGTAACTTCAGATCCAGGGGATCCGATTTCTTCTTCTCTTCTCCAAGCATGCATGCAGTGCATAGACATACAGGCAGGCAAAAGGCACACAAAATAAAACATGAATAAATCTTATTTTAAAAAAGGCTTTTTTTTTTTTCTGGAAGAAATTGTGTGATCTTCTGAAATGGTCTCATAAATAGATTACTTATTCCTCTCCAGGTGGCCTTTTGTCTTCAGGAACTGGCCTCACCGTGGGGAACTGCCACACCTCTGGACTTGAACCTCTGAGGGAAAGCGAAAGGGAGCCAGGGAGGGGAGGATGTGGAAAGGGAAGAGGGAGGAAAAGGAGCCAATAAAGAAAAGGGCAGGGCATAGCAGAACAAGAGGGAAGGAGAGGTGAGGGCGGGGAAAGATGTCTTAATCCATCCCTCTCCCATGGAGGAAAAAAATTCTCTTGGTGGGAAACGCAGAGCGATTTAAATACCAAAGATAACAGTCTGTCGGTGACAGTAATTTCTTCACAGTAAGTGTCCTCTCCTTCTCAACCGCCACCATTCACCTCTCTTGGGCACAGTGCATTTGCCCTAAACTTCCCCCTGAGCCTCTGCCATCTGAATGGCCAGCGCCTCCATCAGTCTCAGTGAGGACCCCCAGAGTTTCCGCTAGTCGCTGGCTTAAGTACGTTTTGTAACGAGCAGAATGTTCTCGACAGCTTGGGGTGCCGAGGAACACAGCTTCCCCATTCCATTTCCAATTTACTGTATGAAAGTAAAAAGTACACCAATTAAACTCTTAGGAGGAGGAGGAGCAGCGGGGGCGGGATGAGCGGGAGGCCGCGGGGATGCCTGTTGCCCAGCAACTACAGCCCAAGCCAAACATCCCGCAAAGCGCACCTCCAGCAGCCGAAGGCGTATATGACACCGAGTCACCACTCAAGCTGCGGAGGCGGCGGACAGATTGATTCCAGGATGGATGCTTTGGATCCACATCTCCGCCTTCCCTCTGCGGCCTATCTCATTCAGTCAACAATTTTCCAACGTAGGCTTGGTGGCCGTGAAAAGCGAGCCAGCCTTTTCCTTCTTAGCTAGCCAGATTTTTTTTTCTGACAGAAGCAAAAGGCTCAGTTCCAGTTTTCAAGCCCAATAGGGACATTGCCCATCAGAGCCAGGCCAAATCCCCAAGGCCTGCCTGGAGCATGTGCGAGATCGCCAGGCTGCGGGTGGCCAGTGTGGGTGGAAGCTTCCATGGTAAGGGAACAGTGCCCTCTGCTGGCGGTACACCCCGCAGAATCAATGTATTGGGTTTCATATACCCGGCCCCCGACCCCCAAATCCTGAAGTATGGGATGCCATACAGAACCTCTGTCGTGAACTCCTGAGTGCCTTCAGAAGAAATCATCGATTGGACAGGAAAAAAAAAAAACTGAGGCAAGAAGGAGACAAGACCAGGCTAGACACAAAGACAAGCGCTAGAAGTGTGGCCCTATTGGGAGGGGGGGGGGGGGCTCTTGGTAACTGGCAGGGTTGAGCCCAGAAATTTCATTATTCTGCCTTCGAAAAATCCAGCACAGAACCAAGCAAGGTTCATTAAGCTGGAAGATGGCAGTCATCCCTACTCCCACCCCTAAGCTGGAAGTGCTTTGAAATACACAACTTTCCACTGGCTTGGTGGACATTGCTAGATGTGCTTCTAATAATATCATAATGGAAGCGTGCAAAGGGCATTGTGTAGGGCAATAGGCAGAAATTAGTATCTTCCATGCAGAAAACTCCTCCAAGTGAGCTGGCTCTGTCATGGCCTTGGAGTACAGGCCCACCCACAGGGTTCAAAGCAACAAAAAGCAAAGCATAATGTTAGAACCCGCAAGGGCCTCAGCAGGATCCCCGTATGTTTTTTAACAAAATGACACAATGTGAACTTGTCCTGTGCTCAATAGCCCGACTGTTGCAACTAATGCTTTTAGTATGAATACGATCATTTAAATCCCCAACCCGATGCATTTTGTGACAATACACATCAGAAAACAAGCCCAGAAGCAGAGAGTTCTCACTTTGGGGTCAGTGGTATTAAACACACACACACACACACACACACACACACACACCCCTTTTGATGTGTTCAACTTCCAAAAGTACCATGCGCCCTTGAGAGAAAATATTCTTATCCCTGGTGTTTGCAGCTTCGTTACTGAAGCTGGTCTCACGTTAATCTGCAAAACTGGTTCTGTGTACTCTCAGGGCTCCACCTGCACAAAAGGAGAGGGATTTGTCCTGTGTTTTTGGACTATCATAGACCACCCCAAGGTCAGCCTTTCCCAAATACAGTATAAACCCTCACTGCCTTTCTGGGCCTCGAGGCTTCACACCCACTATTTCCTGCTACCCTATTGTCTGTCTTTCGCTCCCATCCTCTGCTCCCTTCTGGCCTGGCTGATCCAGAGCTTGTTTCAGACCAACAGCTGGATCAGGTCAGTTTTGTTTGTGTTTTGAGGTGTGTTCAGGGCTCTCAATATGTTGCTAGGCTGGTCTGTAACTTATGGCTCTCAAAAAAACCTTCCAACTTGACCTGGCAGGTGCCGTGACGAGAGGCCCTAAACCCAGTGGGTTTTATTGTTTTTGGAGGGGGGTGTAGTTGGTTGGTGATGGTTGGAAAAAGCCATGTGTGTGAGGATGAGTATATGAATGCCATGGCAGCTTCTGGGAGCTGGTTCTCTCCTGTGGAATCTGGAGTTTGAACTCAGGTTATCAGGCTTGCACAGAAAGGCCTTTTATCAGCTGAGTCGTCTCACTGGCCCAAGACCCTAGCTTTTGTGGTGGTGATCCAGTTACCAGGGCAGTTAGCAATTGCTGGTGGTTAGTGGAGTGACCCTCAACCTCTCCTGTTTTCTAACCTGATTCTTCCTCTCCCCAGACATTGCTGGGCCAGACTGATATTCTGCCAAGTCCTTGTTCAACTCTGGCCAGACAGGACTGCTGTAGTTTGTCAATGAACCCCCGCCCCCAATTCCTCCCCAACCCATGCAGGCAACACAGGCCTGTAGGCAGAGTTTTTGTTAGAACCACTGGCTCCAAAATAAACACACAGAGACTTAATATTAATTATAAATGTACGGCAAATAGCTCGGACTTGTTACTAGCTAACTCTCACATTTTATTTTATTATTTTGTTTGTTTGTTTGGTTTGATTTAGCTTGGGTTTTTCGAGACAGGGTTTCTCTGTGTAACAATCCTGGTTGTCCTGGAACTCTTTGTAGACCAGGCTGGCCTGGAACTCACTGAGAACCACCTGCCCCTGCCTCCCAAGTGCTGGAATTAAAGGTGTGCACCACCACTGCCCAACTAACTCTTACATTTTAAATTAACCCATATTTCTTATCTACACTCTGCCATGTTTTCTCAGCACAAGTTTATCTCCTCCTCTCTGTGTCTCCTCCAGATTCTGAGAGACTCCTCCTCTTTGTGCTCTTTTTTTTTCTGTAAGTCCTGCCTAACCTCTCTACCTGTCCAGCTATTGGCCAGTCAGCTTCTTTATTAACCCAACATAGTGACACATATTCACACCATGTAAAGGAATATTCCACACATGCCTCTCTCCAAAAATGTATTAGAAAATAAAACACAATACTGTTTTACATCGCAAGCTGCAGTGTTCTACCTCGACCCCTCTGCTCTGCCTCCCACCAACTCTGACAGAGGGACTTGACGCCACAAGAGGTGTGTGCAGGGTTTGTTCATTCACCCTGCTTTATTTTTGTTGATGCTGTACCAGGGATTGAACCTAGGGTCTCGCACATGTCAAGCAAGCACTCTACAACTCAGCTGTATCTGCAGCCTCCTCTTTACATTATTTTAAAATTTTATTTATTTGGGGGGTGTTTTGCCTGCATGTAGTCTATGCACCACCTGTGTGCAGGTCAGAGGGTGCAGATCCCCTGGGACTGGAGTTACAGGTGGGTGTGAGCCACATAACATGGATGCTGGAAATCGAACCCATCTGGAAGAACAGCAAGTGGTCTTAACTGCTGAGCCGTCTCTCCAGCCCCCTACAGCCCTCTTTTTACATTTTATTAAGAGGCACAGTCTAAATTGCCCAGGCTGGCTTTTAGCTCCATTTCTAAGCCCAGGTAGGCCTTGAACTTGAAATCTTCGTGCCTCAGCCTCTCATGTACCTGGGATTACAGCTATATCACCAGGCCAGGTTTGAATACTGCAGTTTTTTTTATTTTGTTGTGGGTTTTTGTTGTTGTTTTGGTTTTTTGAGACAGGATTTCTTTGTGTAACTGCCCAGGCTGTCCTGGAACTCACTTAGTAGAACAAGCTGGCCTCGAACTCACAGAGATCTGCCTGCCTCTGGAGTGCTGGGATCAAAGGTGTGCACCATCACTGCCCTGCTGAATACTGCTGTTTTTAAGACCCATAAATTAATTCCCAAATAATTACAAGCTTGAGTGAGGCCACAGGAGAACACCGTGGGAAGATGTGTCCTGGGAATGCCTATTCTGAGACCTCCCTATTCCCTCAAGGGAAAGCTCTCTTTATAGCATGACCTCAGTTGGGGGTGAGGCTGGGACAATACTCCTCACCTCCACCACCTGTAACTAGATAGGGGTAGCAAAAAGTGGTGTGTCCAGAGGATGGATTCCTGGGGCCCAGGACAGTCCAGGAGAAAGGGGATGATGACTGAGGTCGTTCCAGATGGTGTCCAGCTGTTCCTTAAGGAACCGGATTCGGTCGTCCAGGCTGCGCTGCTGGGACAGGATCCTGGCTTTGGCGGCCAGCAGCACACAATAGGAGCGCAGATGCTCTTCGGGCAGCTCCCGCTCCAAGACCTGCCGCAGGGCTTGCTCGCGCCGAGCCACGTGCTCCTTCAGCTCCTTAGCGTCCTCCTGCTGCCGCAGCAGAAGCCGGAGTCGCTGCAGCAGCGAAGCCTGGATCCACCAGGAGAGGGCGCAGTGAGCACCGCTGCTCCGGGGAAGGTCCTAGGCTGTAGACCGCAGGCCCCTCCAAGCCCAGCTCTTTCCCCAACCTCAACCTCTTTTACCTTCTCATCAGAGTCGCTGTCTGAGCTCGCCCTGGCCAAGGCGAGGTTCACACGGGCCAGGCGGCTGCCCAGCAGCAGCAGAAGACCAAGCACGCGCTCCAGATCAGTCATGAACCGACGGAACCGTTCCAGCTCCCGGGGTGTACAGGCTTGGCTCACTGCAGCCTCCAGATCTCCATGACATCGGGTCCAGTCTGCAGCCTTCCCCCGCAGGCGCTCCTGCTCCGCGTGAAGCTCTTGGAGCATCTTTTGGAGGAGGCGGGCTAGCTCCACCTGCAGAGAGGGACTAGGTGTTTATTCAAGAACTGGGCCAAGCCTGGGAGTTCTTCTCCCAGACACTAAGCTCGGCCCCACTCAGCTTTCAACCCCCACCGCCCCACCCCCACCCCCTCGCGCCCCGACTCACTTTCTCGGCCTGAATGCTGTTTGATTTTGGGAGTTCTTGGCCACTTGACTGGTCAGGCACAGGGTGAAGGGTAGAGTTTTCCGACCTTGATGCCTCCTGGGTAGTCAGCAGTTCCTGGGTGAAGTGGCTTCTGCAGGACCTGAGGACAAAGGCAGAGGTCTCTGAGTTTTTCCTGCCCTAGACTGCAGACTGAGAATCAGGAGTCCCTAGTGCCTGGCTGGCGCTCACCCTGCCTCCGAAGCTCTGGCAGCCTCTTCTCCAGCCTCCTCAAATGCTGGCCTCATGGCAGCCAAGACCTCTGTGGCAGGCAAGAGCCCATCCAGCAGACCCAGAGGTGGCTCTGGACCGGGCTGGGCAGCAAAAGCGTCACTCACAGAAGGATCCAGTCTGGCCAGCTGCTGAACCAGCGCCTCAAAATGCCGGCTAGGCCAGGTTGGCTTAGGTCCAGACTGGCCCCAGGTCAGAGAAGTGTGGTGAGGGGTTCCTGAAATCTCAGAGCCTGAAGGGCGCAGGACATCAACTGAAGGAGGCTTGAGGGGATTATTTTCTGTAGCTGTAGAGGAACCAGTGGTCAGCGGTCCGGTAGTGTCAAAGGTTGGGTTGTCATCATCTCTAGTCCCAGGAGGGCTGCGGTTTGTGGGTCTGGAGAAGCCCACAGAACCGTTCACCCCCTGCCAATCGTCATCTGCTCTTGCGATCCCCGGGCCCTCGCGGAGGGGACTCTCTGCTGAGGCTGTGGTCTGGACAGCTGTTTTGCTCAAGCTGTTTTCATCCTGCTGGTCAGAGGTGTGGAGATCCCTAGAGGTGGAAGAGCTGAATCAGGAAAGGCTCCAGCGCAGACAGCAGCTGTCTTTTCAAGGGCTGCCTGTCCCCCATCCCCACCACCTGGGCACTACAAGAGAGAGTCCCCCGCCCTCTGGCATTTTCTAGATGTTTGTGTGTGAGGAAAGTGTCCCTCTGTGCTTGGACACAGTGGGGATTCACCTGGTTGGGAGCCCCTGGGGGGCATGGGAATCATGAGGTGGTGGTGTCTCGGCTTCTTCCAGGAACACATCATCATCGGGGAGAGAGGGGTTCGGAGTAGACACCATGAAGGTCTCGGGGACCCTCTGACCACAGCCAGCTGGGCTGCTCTGGAAGACCTCTGTAGGACACACCACTGCAGCCTCTTTCTGAGTCAAGAACCTAGAGGCAGGGACCCTACAGTGACCAGGAAAGAGGTCACTTTCCCACTGCACCATAGAAATAGTAGAGCATGCAGTTTGCAAAAGACAGAAGTCTCGAACTGAGGTAGGTGGACTGTCTCCTAACCATGAATCCGCTGTCAGCGTGACTGGATTTGGAATCACCTAGGAGACACATCTGTGGCTAACTGTGAGGGAGTTTCCAGAGAGGTGTCACTGGAGAGGGAAGTCCCATCCAGTGGACCCGGGTTCTGGACTGAACAAAAAGTGGAAAAGGAGAAAGAGAGCTGAGCACTAGCAGGAATCTGTTTCCTGACTGCGGATGCAGAGTGACCAGAAGCCTCACGCTCCCTGGATCCATGCCTTCCCTGCCATGATGGACTCGACTCTCTTCAACCCTGAGCCAAAATAAGTATTTCTTCTCTAAGTCCCCTTTGTTAGGAATTTGGTCAGGACAATAGGAAAATTAATGAATACAGGACCCGCGATTCCTTTTTAAGTAAGAGCTGTCTGTGAAAGTGGACTCCAGACAACTCTGTCCCCAGAGAGTCCCATGTCTCTCACCTGGAAAGCTTGATCTGAAGTAATGGTCTCGGGGTTTCTGTCCTTTGAGGAACAGCCTAGAAAGGGGAACAGTGGCCTGAAATAAAGCATTCTCCCAGATGCCTCCCTCGCCCACCAGCCTTTCCCTTCCATACCTGGCCAGGGGCGGCCACAGTCCTTTCTGAACCCGTGCGGAGACTCATGACCTCGCCTGAAACGCTCATACTCCGACCCGCAGGCCTACAGGCATGGCCACGATTCACGCACGGGGAGTCCAGCTCCACTGAGCTTAGAGACTGAGTCTCCTGCAGCCCTCTGGACTTAGCGGGCGCCCCACGCGGCAACTCCTGGGTGGAGCAAGCCTCTCTCAAGCCCTCGCCCGTGGGTCCACCGCTCCAACCCACGCGATGCAGTTTGCCTGGCTCGGAGAAACAGCACATCCGCTGCTGGCTGGCCAGACGCCCCCGGTCGGCAGCACCCAGCGCTCGGACCGGGGTGCGTGCGGGCTCCGCTTCTCCTCCCTCGTGGCAGCTGGAGGCGGAGCGCGCGTGCACCGTGGGAGGCCGCGGAGGTACCGCGGGCCGCAGGCGGCCGGGCAGGCTCATGCGGAGCTCCTTTCTCTGGAACGATGTCTCCCGCAGCACTCGACGCTGCGCACCCTGCAGCCGCTGACGGTAGGCGGCCCGTGAGGCTGGGGGGCTGGGCGGCTCAGCGGGGCGTGCCGCAGCCTCAGCCTCGGCGGCCAGCGCGTACAGCAGCGGGGTGTCCTGTCTGCTCAGGGACCCCTGGCTTCCTTGGACCTCTGGGGGGCGCGGGCCACTGTGCCCAGCGACTACCGGTTCGGGCCGCTGGGTAGTTGGAAGGACAGCATCCTGCCGGGTAGGGGATCGGCCGCCCCAAACCACGCGCACGTAGTCCCAGTCTAGGTAAGGGAGGAGCTCGGTGCTAGGGGACGGTGTGCGCATCTCCGGACCACCAGACGCCGCGGACAAAGAGCTGTAGGCTGAATCGGCGCGCGTGGACAGCCGTCGCAAGTCCAGATTTCCAGAGGCTGAGGCCGGGGAGGTGCGGTCGCTCCCAGTACCCAGGGCCTCCATGGCTGTGCAGTTGGAGACTAGGGCCGGCAGGCGTGGTGGAAAGCTAAAACCAAACAAAACATAGATGGGCTGTTGGATGAATAGTTCAGGTAAGGGTTAGGACAGCCTGCTGGCTCCTAAACCATAGAGAACCCGGGGCGTCTATATCCACTCTCGGGTTGGATGGTCCCGAGCTCTCGCATCTTCCTCCTGCCCCTCAGTGTGGTAGAGAAACTGGAGGTTGAGATGGCGTGGGCAATTGGACTTGTTGTAGAGCGCCGGTCTGGGGGTTGGGATCCTCAGTTCTGACGCAAATGGCCCATTCGCTTGCCTTGGGGATTGGGCCTTCCCGAGCTGCACCTCTGCCCTGGCACCTCTACCCGTGTTGAGAACAGGCGCATGCTCAACCCTCAGTCCCACCCAGGCTGCTTCCTGGCCATTCTGTTGGCTTCTCTGTGTGATCTTTCCCTGATAAACAACCATCAAGAATGTTCTGAGATCACAGAGAAGCCCAGAGAAGGGGGGCAAAGAGGCAAGGCAAGCGCAGAGATATCTTCACCGTCTCCGTTCACCCCACTCTGTGTTCTTGATGGTCCAGGTGAGTCATAGAAATACCCACCTTAATCCTCATCTCCCTATGTGCTTTTAACAAATGAGAACCCTGAGGTTCTGAGGAGGAAGCGATTGGCCCAGAGGCACACACAGGTCCTAAGTGGCATAACCCTGGCTGGAATCTAGGCATGCCTCCAAGCTCACTGCAGCCAAAATCAATTTCCTAGAGGCAAACCCTGCCCACAGCCCTTGTCATGGCCCCCTTCCCCCAACAAAGCCCAAACTCCAAGTACCATAAATTCCAGAATAATGGCTGGGTGGGTCTGCAACTCTGTCTTCTGTCTAGGAACCATGAGCAGACACCCACCTCCTTTATGCCTTGCCCATAGGACTCGGTTTGGAGGTCTCTGGGTTCCTGGGGACCTCCACAGCATCACTCACCCCCTACTCTGTGACTGTTTGCTCTTTCCTCCTTTCGTTCCCACCCCTGAGCTTCCTGAGGACAGGTCCTGCCCTGATTTGTCACCCAGTGCCTGGCACCAGCCCTGGCATGTAGTCAATGGTAAATAAATAGTTGCTGAATGGCAAGGGGAGGGGCAGAGGTGTGGGGGGTTGATGGAGGGGTGGCCTTGGCAGGAAAGGAAGAGGCTCCATGTTTTATGCCTCTCCCCCCCCCCCATTAGCCTTTTCTGGGGTACGCGACAGAATGTGTGAGGAGGCCCTGGCCACCACGGACATAACCAGGTCACTCATGCATTATCAGGAAGAAACAGAACCTGCAGGCAAGCAGGACGGCCTGGAAACTGATCCCTCCCCAGTGCCGGGAGGCAGATCCAGGGGAAGGAAGGCCTGGGCGGTTGTGCTGGGTCTGGCTGAGAGCAGCTTTGAGGCTTGGGGGGTCTATGGGGAAGTTTGTCTTCCTTGACATACTTGGGGTGGGGTGCATAGATTAGGGAGGCACACCCCTGGCATGTGCGCCAAAAGCAGGCTCGTTCGAGCTTCCCAGATACTGGAATTCAGGGTCACCCTACACCCACCTCTCTGAGGTACAGGATACCATACGTTGCTGGGAGTGAGTCCAGGAGCATAAAACCTTCCTATAATGGAGAGGCAAGCGAGCCTTCACTCCGCCCAGGGCCAGACATCTTGATGTGGCTGTGCTGGGCCTATTCATGCCCAGCAAGACCAGCCCACAGGTTGAGAACCACGGCCTAAAAGGATAGCCAGCTCTTCTAAAAGGTCTACCCTGGCTGCTCAGATACCAGCTCTCTCTCTCTTCCTAAGTTTTCTTCTCTTTAAAAAGTTTTTTTTTTGGGGGGGGGGGCTGGAGAGATGGTTCAGTGGTTAAGAGCACTCACTGGCTGCTCTTCCAGAGGACCCGGGTTCAATTCCCAGCGCCCACATGGCAGCTCACATCTGTCTGTAACTCCAGTTCCAGGGGTTCTGACACCCTCACACCAATGCACATAAAATAAAGTTAAAAAAGACTTTCTTTTTTGAGCTGGGCAGTAGTGGCGCACTCCTTTAATCCCAGCACTTGCGAGGCAGAGGCAGGAGGATGTCTGCGAGTTGCGTTTGAGACCAGCCTGGTCTACAGAGCTAGTTCAAGGACAGCCAAGGCTACACAAAGAAACCTTGTCTCAAAAAAACAAACAACAACAAACAAAAGTTTGTGTGTGTATGTGGTGTCTGCACATGGGTGTGGTGTATGCACATGTGTATGCATGTGGAAGCCAGAGGTTGATGTCTGATGTCTTCCTCAATCTCTTTTCGCCCCCCCCCCTTTTTTTTTTTGAGACAGCCCTGGCTGTCCCAGAACTCACTAAGTAAACCAGGATGCCCTTGAACTCATGGAGATCCGCCTGCCTCTGCCTTCCAAGTGTCAGGATTAAAGGTGTGTGCCACCAAGCCTGGTGCACCCCACTTTTTGAGACAGGCTCTTTTACTGAACCTCATGTGGCTAGGCTGACTGGCCAATGAGTTCCCGGGATCCTCCCATCTCTTCTCCCCCCTCCACACCCAGCAGCAGTGCCCTGCTCTTTACTCAGGTGTTGGGGATTCAAACTCAGGTCCACATGCTTGTACAGCACGCACTTACTAACCATGCCATCCCCCCACTCCTCTCTTCCTCATCTTTCTAAACCCAACTCATGCCTATCCATGTCGGCATGCCGACAGAAAGAGTGATGAAATACTAAGATATTCCCTCAAAGGAGGCTTGAGGCTGGAGAGGTGACTCCTCCGGGGGCAGAGTGGCCACCGAGCCTGACAACTTGAGTTTGATCCTTGGGACGGATCCACATGCTCATTGTCATTGTGGCCTGCATAATCTCTCTCTCTCTCTCTCTCTCTCTCTCTCTCTCTCTCTCTCTCTCTCTCTCCTCTCTCTCTCCCCACTCCCTCCCTCGCTCTGCCTCTCCCTCTCTCGCCTACACACAAACACAAATAAATTAAAAAAATTTTTTAAAGAAGCTATTTAAGTAGGGTGGTAGTGGTGCACACCTTTGACCCTAGCACTTGGGAGGCAGAAGCAGGCAGATCTCTGTGAGTTCGAGGCCAGCCTGGTTTACAGAGTGAATTCCAGGGCTCCACAGAGAAACCCTGTCTCAAAACACCGCAAATAGAAGAAGGAGAAGGGAAAAGGGAAGGAGGAGGAGGAGAAGAAGAAACCATGAAACTTTATATTAGTGAGTGTCTGACACAGTGAAGGATTCTCTAATCACCAGATAAAAATGGCTAACACAGCTGGAGAGGTGTTAAGAGCACTGGCTACACTGGACACGGTGGTAGCATGCTTTTTTGTTTGTTTGTTTGTTTTGTTCTGTTTTTTCGAGACAGGGTTTCTCTGTGTAGCTTTGCGCCTTTCCTGGAACTCACTCTGTAGCCCAGGCTGGCCTTGAACTCACAGAGATCCACCTGCCTCTGCCTCCGAGTGCTGGGATTACAGGCGTGCGCCGCCGCCGCCGCCGCCGCCGCCGCCGCCGCCGCCACCGCCACCACCACCACCACCACCACCACCACCACCACCACCACCAACACCACCTGGCAGCCATGGCACACTTTTAATCCCTGCATTTGTAAAGCAGAAGCAAGTGGATCTCTATGAGTCTGAGGCCAGCCTGGCCCATATAGCAAGTTCCAGGCCAGCCAAGGCCTGCCTCAAAAGTCAGACAAACAAGCAAACAAACAAAAAGAGAACTTGCTGCTTTTGCAGAGGACCCAGATTTGGTTCCCCAGCACCCACATGGCAGCTCACAACCATCTGTAACTAGAGTTCCAGGGGATCCCATGCCCTGGATGGGATCCCTCTTCTGTCCTCCATGGGCACCAGATATGCATGTGGTACACATACATACATACATGTAGGAAAAACACTCCTATAAATAAAAACAAAAATAAATTTAAAAAACAAAACAAACAAAAACAGCTTAAGGTACAGAAAGGAGACTCACTGGGAAAAACTGTTCACTGTGCAGGTCTGACAACCTGAGTTTGATTTCCAAGGCCCATAGGAAAAGTCGGATTCAGGGGCTGGAGCGGTGGCTCTGCAGTTAAGAGCACTGACTGCTCTTACAAAGGCCTGAGGTTTGGTTCCCAGCACCCACATGGTGGCTCACAATGAACTATAACTCCAGTTCCAGATGATCCAGCACCCTCCAAAGGCTATTGCATGTGCTTGGGCACATAAAATGCTTTTGAAAAGTCAGATGCCGTAATGCATATCAGTCAGTAATTTCGGCATACCAGCAGTGAGATGGGAAGTAGAAACAAAACAATCGGCTGGAAGCTTGCGGGCCAGCTACCCTCAAATACACTACATAGCAGTAGAAACAAGAGAGACCTTGCCTCATCAAGGTGGAAAGTGACAATGGACTCTTGAAAGTCCCCCTCTGATTTCTGTAGCCACACTCCGACACTTATGCCCATACTAACACGCACACTAATGTAATTAATGAAAACATCAATGTATAATGAATCATTAAATGTGTACATATTGCCGGGCGGTGGTGGCGCACGCCTTTAATCCCAGCACTTGGGAGGCAGAGCCAGGCGGATCTCTGTGAGTTCGAGGCCAGCCTGGACTACCAAGTGAGTTCCAGGAAAGGCGCAAAGCTACACAGAGAAACCCTGTCTCGAAAAAAAAAAAAAAAATGTGTACATATGTAGGTTTTCTTATTGCCCCTAACTTGTCTCAAGGATGCTATTGCATTGGTGGCCCCAGCAGGTTTCTGTCCACGCAGGACTCCCATGTCGTACTCTTTGTAGAACCTGCTGTACACCAGGGCCTGGAGTCTCTGTACAAACAACAAGGAATGTTCATGCTTGTCCCCAGAGCAGAGGCTGCAGCGTAGTCTGCTAGAAAAGTAGACTAGGGTCTTGGGGATGGAGGAAGGTACTTTCACCTAACAAAGAATAAGTGAGTTGTGCTCAGGGTTCAGAGCCAGGCTCTTGAGGGTGGAAACACCAGTCCTGGAGGATGAAACTCCAGAGACTGGACAAGACTGGCCTTGGAGAGCAGATAAGCCATAGAGCACTCATTCATTCTGGGGGACCTGGGCTTTCCTGTGGCCACGGCAAATTTCGGGTGGTTGGGATATGGGTCTGGTACTCGAGAGTGAAGGTGGACCCAGGCAAGCACCAGACCCAGGACTTCAGTCAAGGCTTGTGGGGAAGTTCAATGAAGACAGTTTTTAGTGGACAAAAACCCTGTCAAGGCCATGCATGCGAGCCCAGGGCAGGTAACAGGCGAAGTACAGGGAAAAGACAGCCTCAAAGCTCATCTGGAATGAAACTGTCCTTCCAGCGCCATCTCCCATCTGACTTCCTGTGTGGACCTATGCAGGCCACTCCTTGCCTCTGGCCTTCCCGTAGCACTGTGGACAGCTGTAACTGCACTGGGCTGGATCTCCGGGAGGAGTCAGACCCCCCCAGGGTTCAGGACTAGATCCTAAGTCCTAGCACCCCAGGCTAGGTCTGATGGGTGAGCTCTCTCTCTGTCTAGCTCCTTGGTTCTCTCTGTCCTCCTATTCTCCACGGCCATAGGTGACATTGGACCCCTGTGCAATAACTGATCTGCGACATAGCAGCTGGTCCCTGGAGCCCTGGGGCGGCCCCTGCTGAGACCCTACTTCCAGGAGGTGTACAAAAAACACAGGATGCCTGTGACACCTAGGTACAGACAGTCACTGCCATGGACAGAGCACGTACACAGGTTCAAATTCCAGGCAAAAAGGGGCCCAAAAGAGGGGTTGGATCCAAGCTCTGGGGACCCACATTGTGGCAGCAGAGTCACATGGAGAGGCGAGAGAGCGGGCGCTTGAGACACTAGGAGAGCCGGTGGCCTCTGACCAGCATATTTCTAGGCCTTTCCTGTGGGGCTCATGGTCCGAGAAGATCGGGGACTGAGAGGGACTGAGATTCTCCAGCAACAGAAGCTTAAGGACAGAGGGTCGCCGGGCGGCTGCCACTGTGTACCGAGTCCCTGAAACAGCTAGGACAGCTGGACGGCTCTGTCCCCTGCCAGGCCTGGGCAAGAGTAAAGGTGCGCAGGGTTCTACTCTGCTGACGCATCCGGACTGGACTCCAGGTCGGAAGGTCCAGAAGGAACGACCGGTCGGTCTGGCTGCTTCGCGGCCACCACTGTCGCCGCCCCGACCCTCCCGTCCTGGTCCTCCTCCTGCGGACCACAGGCTGCGCGTCCCCTCACCCGGCCCCCGCAGCGTACCTGTGGCTCCAGCCCGAGACGCTCTCCAGGGCGTCCGCGTCCGGCTGCGCCGTGACATCCGAGCCCCAGGCTCCAGCTCCCGACGCCACCTCCAGGCTCCGGCCGCCACAAGGGAGGCGCCACCTCCTACCAAGAGGGGCGGGAGCCTCGAGTGGCGGCCGGGCTCCGGGAGCCGCGCCCCTTCCCGGTGTGATTCTGCGCGTGGCCCCTGTCCCCAGCCCCCGGACCTCTTACCAAGGCAGAGAGCAGGAGCGGGAGGGCGATCGATCACACTCGCTCTTAGCACTGCTGGATCTGCAGACACGACTTCAGCAACCACAGTCTCCTAGGTGCGGAGGTCTAACTCTCTCCGGAGCACCAAAACCTCACTCTTTGTTTTCCTTTTAAAAAATGACATTCACTTATTTATTTACTTATAGGTATGCGTGTGTATGCGTGAGTGCGTGTGCGTGCGTGCGTGCGTGCGTCTTTGTGTATGTGTGTGCAGGCTCCCATATGGAGGTCAGAGTACAACTTCAGTTCTTTCCTTCCACCCTGTGGAGTCCTGGGATCCAACACAGGTGATGATCTGGCTTGATGACATAAACCTTTATCCACTGGACCATCTCTCCTGGCCTGTTCTCCTAAGTTCTGTAGAGGAAAGAGATGTGCCCCGGGCTCCTGCCTCATGCTCTCCCTCTGAGTGTGCTTTAGATGACAATGACTACTTGGTCAACTCTCTACTCAGACATTTCCCAAACCCTGTCGCCTACCTGACTCTTTTCCATGCGCTCTCCTTTGTCTCCTTGCTTCCCATTTCTCCCCCCACCAGACCCAAACCAGACAGAGCCCTGGACATATGGGCTCACATCTGCGACTGGGAATGCGCCTTCACCTTCTGGGACCATCTCAGCCCCAAAGAATGCTCTGCTGGGCCCTGAGAGATGGCCCAGTGGTTTGGATCACTGGTTGCTTTTGCTGAGGACCTAAGTTCGACTCCCAGCACCAAAGCAGTGGCTCACGATCATGATCATTTGTAACTCTAGTTCTAGGGAACCCAACACCCTCTCCTGACCTCTGAGAGCACTAGGCGTGCACATGGTGCACATACATGCAGGTAAAACGTTCATGCACCATGAACATAAATTAAAAACAGAACAAAACAGAATGTTCTGTCTTCATCTGCCACTGTGCTCTCTCTTGCCCAACTTTCCAAAGTCTGTCCTCTATTCCTGGAGTCAAGGCTGCCAGTCCTGGGTCTAGAGAGTCTGAAGTTTCTGTTTCCTGGGTCTTCTAGGAGCCTAACTCCTGAAAACCAATCCCCCCCCCATTTGTATATTGTGGGCTGAAGAGATGGCTGATGTTAGGAACGCTTGATGCCCTAACAGAGGTCCTAGATCTGGTCCCCAGCTTCCACATGGCAGCTCACTACCATGTGTAACTCTAGTTCCAGGCCAGCCTGGGCTATGTAAGGAGACCCTGTCTCAAAAATGAAAGTCTAGTTGTCTCTACCCTTCTGTGGCTCAGTGCTTTCTGAGGCTTGGGAGAGTTCTTCTCCAGAGCGCCTTATATGGACAGACTTAGCTAGGATTAGATCACAGCGCTGGCTGACCAAGAAGCTGATGGGTGGGGGATGGGGCAGTGCTCAGTAGGTAAAGTGCTGGCCACTCAGCATGAGTAGCTGAGTTTGGATCTGCAGCACCTAGGTAAAAAGCCAGGTGCCACAGCTCACACTTGCTACACTGTGCAAGGGACATGGTGGTGGTGGTGGTGGTGGTGGTGGTGGTGGTGGTGTGTGTGTTTGTGTGTGTATAAATGGATTCCTGGAGTTGGTAGCTGGTCTAGCCAAACTGATAACTCCAGATTCACTGAGAGACCTTGTCTCAAAAAATAAGGTGTGGGGAAGTGATAGAAGAAAATGTTCAGATTTGATCTCTGGCTTTCGTGCGTGTGTGTGTGTGTGTGTGTGTGTGTGTGTGTGTGTGTGTGTGTGTGCGCGCGCACACATACTCCACACAGACAGAAAGCAAGTCTGTGGACTGGACACTTGTCATCTGAGCTGAAAAAGAAAGACCTTTACAACAGGTATGGTGGTGCACATCCCTGATTCCAGCACCCAGGAGGTGGAGCCAGTAGATGAGGAGTTCCAGGCCAGTCTCAGCTACATAGTGAATTTGAGGCCAACCCGGGCTGCATGAAAACCTACCTCAAAAAACAAACAACAAAATAAGCAACCCAGAAGTACTTCAACACAATCATGGTGTCTGTATTTTTTATTTTGTTATTATGTGAATATTCGTGTGAAGGGGATGAGTTTATACACTTGAGTTCAAATGCCCACAGAAGCCAAAAGGCGGCATCAAATCCCCTGGAGCTGGAGTGACAATCAGCTGTAAAACGATTGATGTGAGTGCTGAGAACGGAACCTGGGTCCTCTGGAACAGCAGTACACAATCCTGACTTCTGAACCATCTGTCCAGCCAAATGTCTATTTTTGAAATACCAACAAAACACGAATCGTGCCGGGCGTTGGTGGCGCACGCCTTTAATCCCAGCACTCGGGAGGCAGAGGCAGGCGGATCTTTGTGAGTTCGAGGCCAGCCTGGGCTACCAAGTGAGCTCCAGGAAAGGCGCAAAGCTACACAGAGAAACCCTG